CTTGCTCCGTCGTTAACTTCACTTAGCTCTGTTTACCCCCCGTCGTCATTTTTCTCTGCCTCCGCCCGACATCGCGATCCCCGATCCGCCGTTCCCGCTCGTCTCCCTTTCGTTCCGCCTCCGTTCTCGGCGAACCTTCGCCACGTGGCCCGCGTTTCTTTTCTCCCCCATCCCTGGCCCCTCGTCGACTTATTTCGCTGGCCGACGGAGCATCGGTTGCTTCTCTCCTTCCTTCTTTTTGCCGGCTGATAGAGTAAATAGCAGAGGTGTATCCGGGAAACGGGCGTTTAAAGATGGATGACATTCCACCAGCGCGAGTGAATATCCCGTGAATCGCAATTTACAGAGGATATTCCCCGCGACAGTCGGCAACCGAGTGAATTGTTCATCGGCGAGTCTAACGAGTGCCGTGTCGACCGACGAATTACCATCGAAAATGAGACGGGAGAAAATGGAAGCCGACCAATTAGACCGGCGTTTCTCAGCCTAGCCGGTGAACGGACTGTATCAAGCAGAATGTTCGGGTCCCCTAATAATTAGCGCGCAGCGTAAGCCAATTTCCCCTGGCCGCGTAGATCCTCTGGAGAATTCGATCGATGGTCGACCGCGGAACGATGGAAAACACGTATAAAATTATACGAGACACGGGTCGACGAACTATGCGAAATTGCCGGCAGGAGGGGCCGTCTCGTTCGGCCGATAAACGCGCCGGCGGAATCGAATTCCGCGATCCCGACTCGCGGGACCGGAACGCGCGTGTCGAACAAGCGCGTCCCCGTGTCGCGGTTAGCGGAGGACCGACGGAGGGCAGTTCGTTCGCGCGTGCCGTTTCGCGTGTTTACGCGTGTCGTTACCGTAATCGAAGCGCCGGACGACGGCCCGGTGTAATTCGTCGCCCGGCGCCGTACGTCACTCCGATCGACCTCTTAGGCACGGCTGAATTTTGCGCAGGGCTGTTCCTCTGTACGGCGGAGTTCTGTACGGGCAATGCTGTTCTCTAATTTAAATAATTTTCTACTTAAATAATTTTTCTGAATGAATGTGGAATGGATGTATTTGAGCGATGAATGTGCGTGCAATAGATGAATGACGCGACCGTGTGTGTGATCATTCGTGCGTTTCGAATGAATGTTCAAAGCGTTGGAATATTCCGGATTATATTGATTTTCTCCATATGTTAATAATGTTCGTTTTTTTT